TCAGTATGCATTAAATACCCAAGTGACTACTAGTGCCAAAATTCACTCAAAATGCAAACAAGAACAACAAAGCTTTTACCCTGCATCTGTGCGTCTGCCGACGGCTCCCGCGTGACGTAACATATGTAAAACTCTGCTGCTTTGTGCATGTATTTATACAGCAGACTGACCGGGAGACACATGTCTGCATTATTCAGAATCAGCGGCAGAACGTCACACACTGAAGAGATGAGAACAGAAAACCAGATGAACAACAAATACAGAATTCTCACACTTTGCTCAAGGAAAAAGCATATAAAACAATAAAGAGATGATGCATTTGTACCAAACAGCTTCCTGAAGCAGTTGACAGGCGTGTCCAGATTCTCTACAGACTCCGCCTCTAATAACGACTCTCCTAAACTCACCTGAGAGAGAGGTCAAGGGGTCAAACAATCATTATCTCTCAAATGTAACAGTCTTCAAGGCATGTTTAGGTTTCAAGTTTATTGATGTAGATTTCATACAATATATTAAATATTTCATATGCGTTTCATAGAATGCTAATTTAAAGTGCTTTATATAAAAAGGATGTTAAAAGAATAATAAAATAATCATAACATGCATAAGAAACTAATAATAAACAGAAAAACTGAAATGCATCTTTTAGGAATCACACAGTGACTCACTGAATCAGAATCAAATCTAACGCTGAGGTGATAAAGATTCATTTTATACTGCATTATTTTATATGTGATATTTGTGATTATTTGTTTTATTTTTATTTCAGGTTGCCTTTTTAAGAATAGAATAGAATAGAATAAAATAAGATAAAATAATAAAATAAGATAAAATAATAAAATAAAATAATCAGACATGTACCGACACAACTCTGAAACACGCTGCAGGAGCTCCGAGTACGACCTACAACACACACACACACAGAGAGAGAGAGGGAGAGAGAGAGTGAGAGCTGATCGCACGCATCAGTCGTTAAAGGGTTGATTCACCCAAAAATTAATCAGTAAAACAGTCCATGTGACATCAGGGGTTCAACCGTAATTTTACGAAGCTACGAGAATACTTTTTGTGTGCAGAGAAAACAAATATAACGACTTTATTCAACAATTCTTCTCCTCATCTCGTCTGCTGTGGCGCGTCGCCATTAAGGAAAGCCATTATTTTTGTTTTCTCTGCGCACAAAAAGTATTTTAAAATATGATAAAATAATAAAATAAGATAAAATCAAATTATAACATAGAATAAAATAAAATAATAAAAGTGTGTGAGAGATGATTCGACTTACTCCATGCTGAACGACAGACTCCGGGAATCTCTTGAGCAGCAGCAGCAGCATCTCTGCTTTCTCCAGTGTGTTGAAACACTGCTCTGTGGCCTTCAGGAGCATCTTACACTGAACCGGACCTGGAAGAGTCTCAAAAACACCTGCACACACACACAACACACACACACACACACACACAACACACACGTCACATACATGTGATTCAACTACAGTAGAGCAGCTGAAAAGAAATAAAAAAATGAAAGAATTAAACTTAATTAAATTTAGAAATGTTGCCTTGGAAAATAACTTAAATAAGTTGGAAATAAATAAAAACTAAAACTGAACTGAAACTAAAACCGATTAAAATTAAACCTAAATAATAATATAAAAAACCCCTAAAACTAATAAAAATGACAAAAACATATTAAACAATTACCGTACTAAAAATGTAACTAAAAATAAAACAACAAAAAAGAATTAACTCAAAATATTAATAAAAAACTAAAACATTTTAAAATAATACTTAAAGGTCACATATTGTACACCTTTCTTGAGTTTTATTTTAGGTTTTGATGTCCTAAAGAATATATATTTGCGGTATAAGTACCAAAAACCATCTCAATATATTTTTACAGCTCCTTTCTCAGGAGCTCTGCTGAGAACAGGTCGATTTTGGCCTGTCTAATTAATATTCATGAGCCTCTCTTCTGATTGGCCTGTTGTTTTCTGAGTGACACACAGCCAGGCCAACCACAGGTAACTAGGGTCAGCGACGTCACAGCGCTAGCTGGAGGCAGCAAAACAAAGGGGAAACTGGAGGCGGCCCATTCAAACCAGCGCAGGTTCGGCTACATAAGGAGCTTAAAATATCATCTTGTTGTGATGTTGGGTGCCAGAATCGACGTAATACAGCCTCAAATTAGAAATTTGATCGCATATCTGCTGCCACTGCCAGACAAAAAACCGACGACAGCTGTGGTAAAACCATAGACTGTATGAAAACATGGACGTAATGTCCGTGACGTCACCCGTAGATTTCCGAAGAGCGTTTTTGAAGCTCAAAGTGGGCGGAGCCGGCCGTTGCCATCTTGGCAGCGCATCACTCCCGGATAATCGAAAATGGGCAAAGAGGCGGGAGCAGGTTGCTGAAGCCACGCCCACCTAGCTCAACGGTGGTGACAGCAGCGGCAATCCACCTGTCACTCAAGTGGCCACGCCCTTAATTATGCAGAA